ATCATATATTCATTTGTTTTTGTATTTTGAGTCAATCCATATACTTTAATCTCGCTACTTTTCAATTGCATGTAATTTTCGAACTTAAGTCAATAGAAGTTCAGTAAATAAAATCATATATATAAAATATATCACGAATAAAAGATACTACATACTTCTCTTAGAAAATTTAATGAGTTTTTAGAGCCAGGAAACGTTTTGAGTTCTACAGAAAATTTACTACGTTCTTTGCATATATTTACTTGCCTATGGCCCACATAAAATTCATTATATTCTTCGTGTTCTTCATTTGCCTTTACTCGCCTCCTACCTAACAAAACGGCCGAAAAGCTGTCATTGATTTTTCGAATCCCACGAAATCTATCAAAAGGAATCCATTCAATAGACTTTTCATATTTTGTAGCCTTGAGCTGAAATTCTTTGATATAATAATCAATATCTTTATTTCCGCTTGTCAATCTTTGAACTGTACTTTGATATACTGTCTGTTTGAAGTATTCCCTTTTCGAATCAAAATTTTCAACTACCATCATGTATTCACTAGTAGCTTCGTTCCAAGTTAAGCCATGTATTTTAAGTTCATTTTTTTTCAATCGTATATAATCTTCAAGCTTATTAATATATTAATAAAATATAAATATATGCATTAATAAGAAAATATGTACAAAATATTAAAATAACCTACATCATCTAAGAAAGTCAATGAACTTGGTGAAACAGGTAATGTTTGGAGGCTTATGCTACATGGTGGTGTACGAACCCGACTTGCTTCTCGCACGCCATCCAACCATATTGCCGAGAATTCTTTACCGTTCTCATGAAAATTATCTAATCTATTAAAGGGAATCCACTCAATTGCATCTTCATATTCTATAGCTTCAAATTGAAATTTCTTAATGAAATTATCAATATCTTCATTTTCACTAGTACAGATTTGAGCTGTTCTCAAAGGATCACATGACTGACACCAGTCCCTTGATGTTTTAAATTGTCTACAATTTCTACATCTATTTTTTATATGCCTTTTAGAATAAAATTGGTCAAATACCAACATGTATTCATTAACGTTTTGAGTTAATCCATATACTTTAAGGTTACTTTCTAATTGTATATGATTTTTAAACTTAAAAAAGAATATAAATGTGGAATATATGTTAATTAATGCAATAGATTAATTTCCACAGAAAAAAACTGGTATTTCTACACTTGCAAATACAGTCGGACCTCTCTAAATTGATTGTGACAGGACCATATGTAAAAGTTTAGTCAAACATGATTTAAAGAAGTGTTGCATTTAGGGAGGTAAAATCTATAAGTATTATATTAATTGGACTCAAGTGAAGATATGCAATTAGGGGGCTTTTAATAAGCTTATATTTAGGAAGTTGCATTTATATGGGTCTGACTGTATTACTTTATAACAAATAATGTTACAAATAAGATGTAAAATATTATTTGAAAGGGTTAAAAGGGATGAAGAAATACATATTCCAAAACTTTGACTTACTTCTCTTATAAAGTCTAATGAATCGTCAGAGTTGGATGTCTTGAGCGTCTTAAGTGCTACTCTACATGAAGATGAGCGTGACTGTACAACTTTCCCATTTACATTTGAAATTATTCGTATACCATCTAGCCATGTTGCTGAAAAATAGTCATCAATTTTCTGAATGTCATCAAATTTATTAAAAGAAATCCATTCAACAACATTAACGTATTCTGTAGCTTCCAACGAAAATCTTTAATGTAATCATCAATGTGCTTATTTCCACTTGACCATCCTTGAATTGTTTTCAGTGGATCACATGCTTGGCACCATGCATAATAAGTGTTATATCGATAACAAATTTCGCATTTGTGATATTTCGGATTCCTTTTAGAACTAAACTTATCAAAAACTAACATATATTCATTAGTCATAGTGTTTTGTGTCAGTCCATATACTTTGAGCGCGTTATCTTCTAATTGCATCTTAACCTTATAAAAGATAAATAAATGTTAATAAAAAAAAACGAAGCAAAATTTTATAAATTAGTTGAAACTTTGATTTACCTCTTTTAAAAACTCTAGTGAGTTTTGCGAATCAAGAAACGTTTTAAGAGCTATTCTGCATGGCAATGAGCGTGACCGGGCGAATTCTATCTTTTGATTATTTAAAGTTGTTATTACTCTTATTCCATCTAACCAAGTTGCCACAAATTCATCACTAACTTTATCAACTTTTTGAACATTACTTAATCTATCAGAAGGAATCCATTCAATCACATCATCATATGTTGTAGCTTTAAGTTGTAATTGTTTTATAAAATCGTCAACATTTTTATTTCCATTCGTCCATCCTTGAGTTGTTATTTGATGTATTAGGTCGTTTACAATTTGCACAAAATCCAAAACTGTCATGCCTATCAAATTTATCAAATACTAGCATATATTGATTTGTGATTGTGTTTTTAGTTAATCCGTAGACATTTTTTTCTATTTTAATATGCTTTTTAAACTGTTAAAGTATTTAAAATATGATATATTGATATATTTAGTCAAAAGAAATTATATACAATAGACAATGGCAAAAACATAACGTACTTCTTTTAATAAATCTGAAGAATTTTGAGAATTAGGTAATGTTTTGAGATCCACTAGGCATGATGGGATACGTGATTTTTTATATTGCCCTCTTGAACCTGAAATATTTCGTATGCCACCTAACCATGTTGCTAAGTATCCATCTTCAGTTTCTTGAAAATTCTCTAATCTATCAAAAGGAATCCATTCGAGAATT